GATTCTAGTAAATTAAATATATTGGCTGGTGATTTTAATAATTATAATTCGAATCATTTGAAGCGTTTAGCTGAGTTTTTTTTAATTTAAAGCAAACAGTAAATGAATATACGCGTATTTCCAGGCACAGTAGAACTTTAATTGACCACGTTTATTCCATTTGTTCAGTTACGGATACTGATTTGAAAATAACCAATCATGAGACTTTAGTTATTAATGTCTTAGACCATGTTAACGAAAACGTAAAATTGAAGTGCTGGAGGAAATATCCGAAACAGGCTGTTTTTAATCTTGTTGAGAGGAGCGTGGATTTTCCATTCGCGGCCGGTAACTTAGATGAATCTACAGCTGTTCTTAATAACGCTTTGAAAACGTGTACCAATCAACTAGTTGAGCAAAAGTTTGTTTCTTTGAAAAACTCGAACAGCTGGTACAATTTGAATCTTTTGCGTCTTTAACGAAAAAGGGACAAATGCTACAAAAAGTTTTGGAGATCAAATAATGACAATCATTGGAATAGGTACATAATCGCGCGTAATAAGTATTCACAATCGATAAAGAAAACTCGTTGTGAATATGTTCAAAGGAAGATTGATCAGCATCAAAACAACAGCAAAGAGTTATGGAAAATTTTGAAATCTTTATTAAAACCTAGTAATTGCAAACCACGGTCCGTAACTTTTAATGGCACATTAGAACAGTCAGAACAAGTAATTGCAGCTAAGTTTAATTATTATTTTATAGACAGTGTTTCATTGATTAATCAATCAATTGAATTGGTCGATGAACCTGACGAAATAAAGCAGTCAGTTAATAGTAGTTGTAGATTTGAAGTTTTTCACCGAATTACATTAGATGAACTTAGAGTTATTTGTTTTTCATTAGGAAAATCGACTAGAGTAGATAATGTTAATTCTAGAGTTATTCAAGATTGTTTTCATGTCATTGGCCACATCTTGCTGGACCTTATTAATGAATCATTGCAAACTGGAAATGTGCCACAAATTTGGAAGGAATCCTTAGTGGTTCCTATTCAAAAAGTTGCTGGAACGATTAAAGCCGAAGAGTATCGTCCCATCAACATGTTGCACACATTAGAGAAAATTTTAGAACTTGTTGTTAAAAGCCAGCTGTTGGAGTATTTAAATAGTAATAGTTTGTTGACACCAGAACAATCGGGATATCGGGAAGGTCATTCTTGTGAAACCGCGTTGAATTTGGTATTAGCGAAGTGGAAAAATAACTTGGAGTGTAAAGATTCGATTGTTGCTGTTTTTTTTGGATCTTAAACGCGCTTTTGAAACAATTTCTAGGCCCTTATTGTTAAGATCAATCAAGCGCTTTGGAATTACGAGTACTGCATATAAATGGTTTGAAAGCTATTTGTCTGACAGAACTCAACGGACTGTTTTTAATGATTCTGTTTCCAGTCCCGTGGGGAGTAACCTTGGAGTGCCCTAGGGAAGTGTATTAGGGCCCCTGTTTTTGATTATGTATATTAATGACTTGCGACGTGTTTTACGATTTTGCGACATTAATCTTTTTGCAGATGATACTGTGTTATTCATTGCAGCTAAGGATTTAGATAATGCCGTTTTACACTTGAATGAAGATTTGCGTTCTCTAAGTAGATGGTTGAAGTATAAGCAGTTAAAATTGAATACAAGTAAAACTAAATGTATGGTAATTTCGCGGAATCGAGTAAATGAGAACGTCTCTGTTGTAATTGATGATGAGACTATTGATCGCGTTCGGGAGATTAAATATCTTGGCGTGATTATTGATGACACACTTAAGTTCAACTCTCACATTGACAATGTCATCAAGAATTTTTTTTATATCTTTATTAAGGAGACTTTCAGCCCTGGGCTGGTTCGTCTCCCCAATCAAGAAAATTACCAAGAAGTATGGAACTCTATGTCGACTGAAAAACGATTTAACTATTGCCAGTAAAATACAGCTATACAAATCAATAATCTCTCCTCATCTAGACTTTTGCCCTTCCATTTTATTTCTGGCCAATGAAACACAAATATCGAGATTACAGCGCTTGCAGGGTAAAATAATGCGTTTGATTTTGAGATGTAATAGATTCACTTCCTCAACTTTGATGCTAGACGCCTTACAATGGTTGTCGGTGAAGCAAAGAATTGTATATTTGACTATGGTGTTTATTTTTAAAGTAGTTAACGGTTTGCTGCCTCGAAGTTTGTGTGATCGAATTGAAAGAGGAAGTGACTTTCATAGATATAATACTAGAAACGCGGTTGAAATAAGAACACCACATTTCTTGACTTGTGCTTCACAAAATTCATTACACACTTAGAAATTTTTACAGAAATCTGTAAAATTTTACCGAAATCTCAACAGCTGAACGTTCGGTAAACAGTTTCACAGATTTCCTGTACTTTTTCACAAATATCTGTGATTTTTTCACAGATATCTGTATAAAATTACAGGAAAACTGTAAAACTGTTTACCAAACGTTCAGCTGTTGAGATTTCGGTAAAATTTTACAGAAATCTGTGAAATAATCTTAGTGTGTATATTATAAAGGAATAAATGTTTTCAATTCGATGCCTAGACATATCAAACGTTCAGCAACAGTTAAAGAATTTAAAAGACACTGCATTTCACACGTTAAAACTGTCTTTTGAACAGTGACTTTTTTATGATTTAACAATTTATGTATCTTGACGAAGTTATCTCTAACGGATTATTTTATATGGATAGCTGTCATAACGACTTTTTAATAATTATTGTAGCACTGCAAAAACTATTTCTGTTCGCCACGATGGTGATGATGGATTTTTAGTATTTGATTTAATAGTAGATTCATTAAAAAAAAAAGTAGTCTACCTACAAAGGTTTGAGCCTCGCGCGCGTATTACGGATATAGAGGACTGAATTTAATTTAATGCAATTTTGAAGCTTATTTGAAAGATACCTTGAATTAGTAGTAAGTTTTCTGGCAAATGTGAGCATTCCTGACATTGCTAAAAATTATGATAGCATCAGATTGCGGGGTTACTAGTATAATAGGATGCTTTGTTGATTGTTCATTAACTCTTGATTGCTTGTAATACTTATGAATATTTTAGGTGGACAAAAAGGCGAGCTAAGAGTTTGATTTTGTTTTGCAAACCTGGTTAAATTGTCATATTTAATTATCTTAAAGATAAATCGTCCAGCTCAAACCTTTGTAGGGGTAAGAGATGGGACCATCATCATCATCATCAATCCCAGGCCCGTCCCAATCCTTGCAATTTTTCGCTTTGCCTTATCCTATCCCCACACGATTTAAATAAAAACAAATTCTGCTTTAACCGATCGCATCACGTACCACTTAAATCCTGATCTAAAAATAACCTACCGCACTAACACAACTATCCTTTCCGAGAAAGCCGTGGAGATGTTGAGGAATTCTCGGTCTCTAGTAACAACCGCACTGTGCAAGTTGATTAGTTCTGATCATTCACGGAGGAGCAACTATGAAGGTTGGATAACGCTAACTCGACGGCAAACATACAATACGTAAATATTTACCCCGACCTTCTGCTCAGTAAGCAAAAACGGTAATCACTGAGCTACCGAGCCTCGTCGTAATGCTACATCGACATAATTCGTCTAGGAATGATTCTCTGATGACTGTGTTGGGAAAGCAGCATATGCATGTACGTAATTGGTCGATTTATTAGTTAATTTGATGCTTTTGAACAATGCTTGACATTTACCACTTTTTCAAGAATTTTTTGTTGAAAATCAACAGTCAAAAGCATTGCTATTGATGCGTAGAAATATTGCTGATCGATTGATGATAAAGTTTTTGAAATTGGACCAGGGGCAGCTGAGTTATCAACGTTCAAAATCTGTCACAATTTTGTTGCATGTTCTATTTTCGGTTTTCACAAAGTGTACCCCCATATTGAAATCACAGACGTAGTCCTACGTCAAAAAAAAAGCGTCGAAAGATATAAATAGTATATTATCATTATTTCATGATTATTTAATTCGCGGTCTAAGTTGATATCAACTAAAATCATTTGACATAAAAAATCATCGCCTGTTGTCGCTTGGTTCACATTATGCATTAAATTTAAGTGAGAATCTTTACTAAAAATCCAACCGTCCCAAAATCCCGCAATCACTGTGTGAGCGTACCAACTCCCCAAAATCACAATAATAAACCTTAATATCACCGGCAATCACCGCAGGCCGCGGAAAGCCTCACCACAAATCAAGATAAGCGATAACGCGTCGCCGCTAGTAGGTATCGGCTTCGACCAGCGACCCGTGTGATAACGCGACGAAACCCCTTTTCGTCGATATGCTCGATTGCTTCAATCAGCTCAATATTGGCATTTGGTTCTAATTCGATTGCTCCCGCGCCTTGTCCACCATTGAAACCACCACTTCGTCTCCGTCCGTCATATTATCTCCAATCAGCCACCAACCAAGTCACGGTGACAGTAGGGATTGACTAACTGACTGACTGCGAACTGAGAACTGAAGGCTGAGATTGCAGTGTGCACAGACAGAGAGGGGAAAAGGTGTCATTTTTATTGCACCTCATTGGTCTTAGATAACGACGACGCACCCCGCGCCCGCTCACGGAGTTCTGTCGGATGGTGCCGAATGAATTCGAACCGGTAGGTCGAAACGCACATTAGGCAGTTTATGAGTGTTTGTCAAACCGTGTGCTGTGTGTGCGGTTAGTCCCTTCTGACTGAGAGCGAATTCCGGTTCTTATCAATCAGGAACTTGAGCTTATGCTCGAATGGGTGAGGTGAGGTGTGAAATCGCTGGCGGTGGAAAAAGTAGTTGAAAGGAAAATATTTGATAAGATAAAGGTTTTTTTGGTCGCTTCGGTTGAATGCGAACGCCATCGCATCATCGACCTACGGCTTTCCGATATGGCCTATTTGGGAACTTTGATTTACGCTCTGCCGTTATTTCTGTTAGCTGTGGGATATATATTTTTATTTTGGATGGAAGCTTACCTCGATTGATTTTGTGCGCGTCCATTGCGTCATCGTAGCTGGAGGTGGAATTGCTGCCATTGGGAAGCCGAGGAACTGCCGCCGGATGTAGTAACCTTCGGTAGTGATTTACCAATAATTCGTTGTTGATCAGCAGAGGCGATAGACCGTTCGCGGTAACTGTTAGGAAGAGATTAAAAAAAAAACGTTCACTGGTTTGATGGAACAAGTGTCAAACAATTTCCCTTTATCCCACGAAAGCAAAGTCATGTAAGTGTCTTGAACTCTCAGCAAAAGTCACAGCAAATATCGATGTGATACATTTGTTCTGTGGCTAATTTAAAATATGTCACAAGATTTACATTTTTTGCCATTTGACCAGAACCGGCAAAGAACATGGCACCGAGATATAAATAACCTGACACAGAACAGATCAACACTCACATGGGACCAGTTTTTTGCCCATCGACTTCTGCACTGTGAACTTAAGCACTCCAACAACAGCTCAGGAAAAAAAGCCCCCATTGAATTGAGTGATACATTCAGCGTCTCCATCCGCCCCGGGTGACTTAATTTAGTCACTCCATTTCAGTAAACATTCCTTCTCGAAGATGGTACACTCCACATGTGCGTTTTTAAACTCGCAAATGTGTGTTTATCTGTTTCAAGCCGATCTTGGATTTTTTTTTTTTCTTTTGCTTTCTCGGTTGAACGCGTAACCAAATTCCACTTGTTCATCATCCATCATTCATCGTTGGTTGGTTGGTTGGTTTGAGGGTAACGGGTTACGTGCCACCAACTGGGGGGGGGGATGGGAATCCGGGGGTCTTCGGGAGGGGAAGAAGATTATGTTACGTCGAGGCTAGGATTTCTACCATTCATTCAAAAAACTAGACTCCGGATAATTACTCGCGCCTCCGTCACACTTGGCAGGGGGGAAGACGACACGACGGTTTCATTCATGACTTTTTCGCGCAACCAGCCGGGAGGAAGCTGTCTTTGAAGAATTTTATTGCCCAACAACTTGTTAGCATGTCGTTCCCAAGAAGAGAGTCAAGATTTTCGTCGGCAGCGCAGCAGATGAGAGTGATGTAACCGGTTTACAAATTGTCTTCTTGCTGAACGAAATTCTTCCCGGGATCTGTTTGTTGCTGTGATTTATGAAAATCGTTTAATGAGCTATTAATCTCCACCGGGGAGGGGACATTCCATGAGTGATGATCGGAAAGGGGAGCATTTTTCCGGGCAGATGATTTATTGTGAGAAATTAATCCCGGCAACAAATTGGCTCCTGCAATGAGAATGATAATTGGATATCTGCCATCAAATTAAATATTCCATAGTAAATGAATTGATATTAATAAATCAATTATTCATCGAGAACCTGTTGCTGCTGACAAGCTCAACAGGCGATAGTTCAAATGGATTATTTTCGTTTTCCATCAAAATGGAAATTCACTAGCATTTAAATATTAATTACATGGGAATGAAAATTGACTCGTCTGCAAATCATCCAACCAACCACCCATAGGCATCTGTTGCGATCGGTGTAGGTACCCATATCACACTTTAAACTTCATCCGCACCTCAACCGACTCTTCAAAAAGCATCGTCGGCCATGCTGCAATATAGGAGACGATAAACTCCCAAGACGCTCGGACAGGCAATTAAGCAATTACTTTGCTTCTGATGCCATTCAAAGAGAGGACGACGGCGCAGACAGGCGGCTGTCGGTACTTTGCTTTTAGGAAACAGAGGCCTCTTTGAGTGATGGCGAAACGGCACATGGACACAAATGGACATCGTCGTCGTCGTCACTGATGTTGATGTTGTTGTTGTTATTGTTTCCACAGACTCCACAAATTGAGTCGTCGCACTTACAGAGTTGATGAACCTAGAATCTTTGGTCAGCCTCAGAATGTCTCCTCCATCTACTGTGTATCCCCAATCTTATATACGGGGTTGGTCGGTGATGATTTGTGCGTTGCACCGCACTAGTTAGCATCACTCCCTTTGGGATCGGTGGTAAGATCGGTGTCGTAGCAGTATCGGTTGAGGTTGATGCATCGTAGACGTGGAAAGCGCATTGATATCCTAGTCCAGTTTACAGGTCAATCATCACTGATTGGATTCTGATAGAGCGGTAATGGAAGAAACTAGTCTAGTGTGAATTAGGTGACAATTGTGGGAAAAGCGTTGGCATCAAGTGAATCTAGGGGACACAAGTGATTCACATTTAAAGTAGGACATATAAGAGCAGTTTAAACGTTGATAATAGGGTTTACATTTTTTTAATTACACTTGATTCTGAAGAACTTTGAGTGGGTTCGTTTATTTCCTTTAAATTCCGTTATAATTGCTTATTTTTTGACAGATACGCGTATTTCGTCTACTACTTGTAGACTTCATCAGTGCCAAGTACTCAACACCAATGGTGTTGTAGTGGTGTTGACTACTTGGCACTGATGAAGTCTGCAAGTAGTAGACGAAATACGCGTATCTGTCAAAAGATAAGCAATTATAACGGAATTTAAAGGAAATAAACCAACCCACTCAAAGCTCTTCATAAAGGGATTCCGTTAAGAGGTTCGACAAATTTAAAGGATTGAACTTAATTCTGTTCTAACGAGATTTCGCCCATAATTTTTAGAAACAAATTGCATTAAATTTGGTTGCAATTTTAGAATACATGATCAAAATTGAGGGGAAAAAACACACACATTAAAAACGCTGCCATGAAGGTATTTTTTCAAAACTTTACTGAATCAAGCTTAGAGTACATAACGGGTGTTCAATAAAAAATGAGAACTTTTTCAGCCATAGCAAAAAAAAAATTCAACGAATTCAGTATTTTTTATTAAAAACATAATGTTTATTCTTCAAAAAAAACGTCAATGAATACTGGAGAAGGGGCCCTAGTCAGCCGTACGACGCAACATGGTCGCGATGCTCTCACAAGAGCGCTGGACGGCACTGAAATCATTCTCATTTTTTATTGAACACCCGTTAGAATCACAGTAGGCCTTGGTTGTCCCGGTCTTTCCGGTCTAAACGTACTAACTGGCAGTTTTCGATCAAATTCCTGAGAAGGAATTTTTTACCTCGGTTGACTGGAAGAGAGCCCCGGAAGAATGTTAAATAAAAAAAAAGTCTTTATTTTCCAAAAACTCTCTTGTCTGGCAAGCAATCTGCAGTTGAGGGCTGCAAGGCGAATCTTTCGTTACTTCTGAGACCATGATCCAGCAAATTTACCAGGAGTTGTGCCTACGGAAGAGACTACTGCCTTTTCTGACAGCATGAAGTGGATTGCCTATTCTGGCCAGACTTGGTAAGCTGACACTACTCTAATTCCACCAAACAGTGGTATAGCGAAGATGGCGTCACAGTGGTCTCCAAGGAGATTAAAGGCTGACTAAAAGTAAATTGGTACGCCCCTCACGCGACGCTAGCACACCTCTAGTGTTGGGAAGCGAACATCTTTGACAGTGCTTTGTTTACATTTTTATAGTGAACAACTGGTGTAAGTTTGATCAAAGTAGTCGATCGCGTTCAGAAATAACGTCAAATGGATCTCGCAATAAGAAAAAAATATTGTGCAAAAACACCTGGAAAATCCGGGGTGATCCTGTTCTAACCTGGTCAAACTGCTGCAGATGCCAAAAACAACAGTTTGTTGAGTGCTCAAAACCTACAAAAAAAACCCTGAGTGTGGAAAGGAATCACCGGACCGATGAAAAAACTGGAACCTGTTATCGTCAGCTGCGCAGCAAGGTGTTGAGGTGCGTTAAAGTCAACCCGATCTTTCGATCCACGATGTGGCCACAAGGTACAACGCCAACTTTCAAACGGTGCGGAACATCCTTGCGAGGGAAGGATTCAAGTCGTACAAAACCAATAAACATACGAACCGGCACATGAAGCACAATTCTGAGGCCAAAAAGCGTACAAGGCTCCTGTACGACCGTGTTTTGACGGAACACAAGGTCTAAACTTTGATCGATGACGAAACATACGTCAAACTCGATTTTAAGCAGCTTCCCGGTCAAAAGCTTTACATCACGGCTGGACGTGGGGATGTGCCAGTTCGTGTTTGCCGACACGTTCACGAAGAAGGCCATGATTTGGCAAGCGATTTGCAGTTGTGGCCTGAAAACGGAACCATTCGTCACATCCTCGACGATTACATCCCAAGTTTACATCGAAGCATGCCTGAAAAAGCGTGTATTGCCGTTCATCCGCAAGCATAAGGGCAAAGTCATCTTTTGGCCCGATTTGGCCAGATGCCACTACTCCAAGGTGGTTCTGGAGTGGTATGCTGTCAACAAGATCGATTTTGTCCCCAAGCTAATAAATCCTCAAAATTGCCCGGAATTTCGGCCAATCGAAAAATACTGGGCAATTTCAAAGCAGCGACTTCGGCCCAGGGGTGGGGCAGTCAAGAACATACAGCAAATGCAAGCAAAAAGGAACAAATGCGCTGATTCCGTGTCCGTTTCTACTGTTCGAGGTTCACGATTTCGTTCGAACTGGAGTACTGTAAAGCACCCATTAAGGAACATTTCAAACTTATTGAATCACGAATTACAGGTCGTTTTGTGCGTACCAATTTATTTTTAGTCAGCCTTTAATCAGGCCAATATCCCAGAACTAAGGCTAAGTATTCTTTAAACTGGACGATTGTGACGATTACCTGAAATTAAACATTGTTCCGATTACTGCTACGAAGGTACCCAAACATTTATAAATTATCACTTCAACGTATTTTAATGATTCTCTTATGTTTTCACCTGGTCATCTGTTAATTGGTCGCCCGATCACTACGATTCCTGAACCAACATACGATCAACTCAAGCCTGGAATCCTGTCTCGATAGCAACACACTCAGAAGATGCGCGCTGATATTTGGAGGCGTTGGTCAGCAGATTATTTGTCCGCCCAAGTAACACATAAAACATATTTTTGAAAAAAAAAATAGAATGGCTTGTTGTATAAATGTATAATAAGTGATGCAGAAAACATCCAACGTTATATATGAGGTTAAAAGGTGTTTTCTTCATACTTCCTAGATTCAACATTTTCCAAAATAGTTTTCTTTTGCTTTTATCTTTAAATGTTATTTAAACGTTCATCTCACTGTTTTAAAACCACTATAAAACTTGTCGTATTCAAAACAAATCTTA